TCTCAAAACTAATTAATGCTTCAGTATTTTTCTCTCTCTTCTTAAATGGACATTGTGGACTTGTCCATTTTGAGACAAATTCTGGAGTAAACTTTTCGATAATGAAAACTTCATTCTGACTTAATTTCCTTCCGAACTTTCAGAATTTCTGATTCGTAACCTGCCATATTAATTGTGCTTTCTTTTCTTTTTTTTTTTTTTTTACTTTTAACTGTCTTCTCAGCATTACCTTTCAAGTGAATATATGCTTCAATTACAGAGAGAACAAATAAAAGCAGTGCTTTAGGAGAAAAATTAATATCCTAATGTTTCTGTCTTCTCAGGCAGAACTGAAATATTTTGTAGCTTGTGCTTTTGGAGTTTACTCCTCCCTCCTCCCTTTTCTTTCTCCCCCCCTCCTCCCTGGCACTGTAACATTGAACTTAAGCATTTAGAGCACACCAAAATTGATAGTGTCCTTTATCTGCCAGTATTGAATATGGTAGAACTAGGTTCATGATGCTGTTTCATACGGTATTTTTAGGCATTTAGAAATAAGGATGAAACCTGTAAAAGTATGTTAGAAAATCTCCAACTCCCCCTGCAATAAGTAAAAAATGTGTCTAGGTGTTTATGAAACTTTTACTAGTGTTCATCTATTTAAAAATCTGTGCGTAGCTCCTAACTTGTATTGTAGAAGTACTGCAGTTATTTAAGCACTGTGTAGACTTTTCTAATACTCAGGATTCTGAATAAAATTTTGCGTTTAAGAATGTATACTGCATGTTAATACAATAATAAGTCCTGAAAATACAAGCAGCTTGTTAAAGCACTGTAAAGCTTGACTAGCCCTGTTTTTCATGGAGGACTGACACTGAAATTTGGTTTGACTATTGCTGTCCCTATGCTAGTAAGGAACTGCAGTAAGCAGGGACTTAGACCTGCTTTGTTGTTTATGTGGAGATGATACTGATTTCTATGCTTGTGTAGAATTAGGTATTGCTGGCTGAGCTCTGCAGATGGTGGGAAGCAAGGTCAGGGAGCAGCCACTTGCACACATGCTGTCTGCAGGGCTGCAAGTAGCTCCTGTTGCTTCCCTGGAGAGGGTATAGCAATGACAGAGCAGCATAGTGATGGGACTTCCCCTGCTGAAGGTGTTTGTACAGTGTTTATTGCTATTCCTAGGTGCAGACTGTAATGCTAGCATAAATAAAACATATAACATCTTGCAAAAGGCTGTTGCTTTTGTAATAGGTGTAGTCAAATGTTTCAGCCTTGGATATTTCAGACAGTTTTTGCTTAACAAATTAAATAAGTAACCAATTCTTTTTATGCTTGTTTGCACCAGACCCAAACAGCAAAGACTAACTCATCCTTAACTTATAGCTGACTGCTATCCTTAGCTTTTGTCTAAAAAAGCATGGAATTATGCTTGTCATGTTGCAATGGCAAGCAGAATTAGAATTTATAATTCTGGTAAACTCAAATGACAGCTTTTCATCTGATCACTTCAACATTAGACATTTTCTAAGACTTAAAAAAAGGACACTGAAAACAGTATTGTCCCAAGGCTTTCAACATGTTGCTGATTCTTGGGAACACCTAAACAAGAAATTCCACATGAAAACTGCAGGAGAAGGTGATTTCAACTGACAAAATTCGTGTTCAGGGTTTCCTGTGGGTTTTTAATAGAAATAGCACAATTTCAAACTTAACATTTCTGTGGTGTATCTTGGGTAATTGTGTGAATGTCCATAGGCAGCAGATTAATTGGGACTATATAGTAAGATAAACTTTCACAAGATTAACTTCTTTAAATTTAGGAAGTAGCTGTGGGAGGAGATCTCATCATCAATGTTAAGGCCCTACCCTTGCTCTCTCTTAAGCCAGCCTGTTGCTTTTCTTTTTAAACAGAAATGCAGTAGCCTCTCCACTAGGTAGCTGTTATTGCTACTTAGCCTTTAGCCTTTTAAAGACCACTTTTGATTTCTTAAAAGGTATGACTCTAGTAAAAGGCTGAATATTGCCCAGATTTTTTTTTTTTTTTTTTTTTGTGCTTCACCATTGCTGCAGTGTTAATTAGAAATGAATCAACCGTGGCAGGCAGGCAGTCGATACCTGATTTAATTATATTATCTTTAAAGAACAGAAGTAGGTAGATGGTGTGCAGGATTCGGAGAGAGCTCTGTGAGGGACAAACACCCAGAATACTCAGTATTATTTTAAAGTGATCTTCATCAGTTAGTGTTTAGTAGAACCTTTTGTGGAGTGACAGGGGTGCCTGTTGGGTTTTGTTTGTTTTTTCCCCTCAGTGCTAATTACAGGGAGACTTTTAATGCAGTTAAATTTCATTCATAATTACTTTTTTCATAGTAAAGTTGGTCCACTGCCTAGGGTGTAACCTACATGAAAGTTAGAGTTTAATTTCCTGTCCTGCCATGTGTTTCTCATAGAGGTTTTACATTGCTTCAGACTCTTAAAGATGAGATGACCACAGGGATGATCCTTTTTATTTCTTCCAAGACTGGGAACTATAATTGTATGCATGTTCTGGATGAAGACTCACACATTAATGTTAATATGATGACACTGAATACTTAACATTCTGGGGTGTTTACTACCATTTTTAGGCACCTAACAAAGATGAGTTTGAAGGCCTGAAGTTTAGGACTGTAATGTTTCTTTGTGGTCAGTGAAGTGTCTTCGTAGGTCAATTCAGGCCAGAGAACCTTAGGGGCTGGCAGGCAATTAGTATGCATGCTACCTTTCACATTCGTGGTTTTTACTATCCCAACCAAAAAAAGTTCAAATAACTTTCATGTTAGTACTCAATAAAGGAGTTGTTCAGCATTTGTATTGAAGGGAACTTTGTTTAAGAAAATGTCTTTTCCTTTATATGTTTAATTCTTACAAAACCAGAATATTTTGATGTCCAGTAATGAGGCCTTTTAGGGTTGTGAAGGTTTTCTTTTAGTTCACAGCTGATACTTCAAGGGGAACTTAATTACTGATGAACCAGTAGCCAAATGTATTGTGTTAACTTGAACACACAGGGCAATTAATTGGCACCAGTTGAGGCTCATGTGCCTTATGGCTGCCCAGCTGCTCCATACAGGGTTAGGTTAGAAAACAGAACTTTGTCTTCTAGGGTTTGAACAAGCACATCTGCCCAAGCATGCTGCTGAGTTAAACAAAAAGGGAATGTGTTTTAATGAAAACATTTAGACAGATTAAGTCCTGCTGCTGTGACCCAAGCTATCAGGTGTTTCCTTAGTGGTGCTGTTTTTACCTTCATATTTATTTCTGTGATTCAGATTTGCACATGCTCTGTTATCTGTCAGTCTGGTAGGTAAAGCAGTGAACTTTTTTTTTTAAGTAGCCTGCACTTTCATGTCTCAGTGGTAACAGCTATGGTTAAAAAAAAAAAAAGGGAAAAAAGCCCTCACAAACACAAAACCCCACAAAAAAACCCAACAAAAAACCTGGATAATGCTCAGATTTCATAAAGGAACAATGTGGTCGTATTGCAGATATGGTCGGTTTTTGACACCTGGACAACTGCTTTTACAGTCAGAACGCAGTTTGTATTTCCCAAACAAACTATTTGAATGATTTTGATTTGGGATAAGGGACTTTATTTTCAGTAATTAATTTGGTGGCAGAAAGGAAGGCAGGCAAACCTCCTTGCACTCCCCAAACTGCATTTAAATTTTGCAGACACATTGAAGGGGTAAAAAAAACAAAAATATTTTTATTGAACAAGCTCTTAATTTCTGTGGATAACTGTCAGCATATTAGCCATCAGTAGAATAAGTGCCTTCTCTGATATTCTCAAGAAAGGTTGATTTTTTAGTGTTAATGATGAACATAGTTATACAGTTCCTTTTTGGTAAAAATTTTATAGCTAATATGCTTGACAGCTTTTAAAATTGTAATGAGTGCAAGTGCCCTTAGTCTTGAAACAGATCATTAGTGCATTGTCAAGGAAATATTTGTTCTTTTCTTTACGTAACTTCTACTTACTGTACTACTTTGTAGTATTAATCCAATTTAGTTGTGTATT